GTAGTACGGATTTCAGGTAGTTGAAACCCAACCCATTCCTTTCCGATGTACTGGATTCATCGAGATAAATAAGTAACATTTACAGTTTATAGATGTTTTGGCAGATTTTTGAATAATTCATATTGACCCACCTGTGAAAAACTCGGCGCCTCGGTCGGATTCGAACCAACGCTCTAACCACTTGAGCTACGAAGCCCCACCGGACAACGCGAGTTAAATCACATTTGGGTCAAGTTACCCACCCAACCTACTGCTACGTCTGGAATCCACCAAATCTGGTACAGTAAGTTGACTGCCCTAGCAGGATTTCCTAAGCAATTCACCTAGAATCCACCAGATGACTACCAGGCTCGTGTAATTCATAGATGCTTTGGCAGATTTTGAATAATTCATCTATGAATTACGCGAGCCTAGTGGTCATCTGGTGGATTCTAGGTGAATTACTTAGGAAATCCTGCTTGGGCAGTCAACTTACTGTATCAGATTTGGTGGATTCCAGACGTTGCAGTAGGTTGGGTGGGTAACTTGACCCCAAATGTGATTAAACTCGCGTTGTTCGGCGGGGCCTCGTAGCTCAGGTGGTTAGAGCGTTGGCTGTACTCAAGCCTTCTCCTTAGTTCGTGGGTTCGAATCTCACCGAGGCGCCGAGTTTTGGACAGTTGGGTCAATATAAATTGTTAGTTTAGTCGCGTCATCAGTCAGTAATGCCACAATCCGAGGTTCGAACTGGGGTCCCGTGAGTTATTGGTAAAGTGAGTGCAGCGTTGTCTTTTGTAATTCCCCAGAGATTAATCCGCGAACTTAGAGTAAATCCTTCGGAACAAAACCTTCAAGGCTTGTCCTAGAAGTTGGGGTGAATATGTGAATGTAAAGATCCAACCAGCGAAACCAATGAGCCAACCGTCTACAGGCTTCAATTAGGCATATACACTTTGCGAGTGTCGTTCAGCGGTCTATCCTGATGACAGGACACAGTACAAAACGATTCCACTTTGCCCTGTGACTTGAGTGCGTTTGTACCTGAGTTCAGAATGTCATGGGCTGGTGACGCAAATAAGCCAAAGATGACCATTCTGCGGTCCCTTTGTCCTCTGACTAACATATCTCGCAGCAATCATGCCGGCATGTGTAACGCGAGCATCCTTCAAGCGACAAAGTCTGACTTTTTATTTTGAATAGTAATCATAGTAATCAGCCAAAGAGATCAAAATGGATCTACGTTTACCATCTCCCTCCAGAAATAACGGGTACGGTACTTCACTGCACATCTGTTAAACCAACTGGTATTTTCCAGACATGTGTGTTCAGACAGTCATCTCGCGCTGCCCTTCCGCCGTGCGGACGCCGTCCCCTGCTCCTCTCCGCAAAGAAAAAAACAAAACTTCGAAGCCAGTGTCGCAATATGCCTCGTAACCGCCCGCCTACGTTTCCGTTACAGGCATCCAAAGCGCAAAATTATTTACAGCTCCAGCATGGGCAGCTGACATACGATATACCGCTTTTTAATTTCCTCAGAAATTATCTACGAAGTTGGAGTAGATCAGTTTATTCAAGGTCTATAGTCTCAGACTGAGAGTTTTATGTATAAATATTTGAGCCAACGTCAATCAGCCACAGCTGGTAATCGCGTAATATTCGTTAACTGTCGAGAGACAGCTGGTAGTATACTTTAGAGTAAGGTGATACCATGCTAACAGCACAGGTACTAGCCAAAAGCCCATACACGCGTGTTTCGCAAATATTCTGCCGCTGCATGACACAACTGCGAGGGGTTCGGCTCGTCAGTGGGCCCCCCAGCATTCCCCGTCTGCTTTCTGGTAGATACTTCAATTTGAAAATTGTTGCTTTTAATTACCTCAGAAATTAACTTCAAACTTGGAGAAGATCAGTATATTCTAGTACATTGACGAGCCGAACCCCTCGCAGGTGCGCCATGCAACGGCAGAATCTCGGCGAAACACGCTTGTATGGGCTTTTGGCTAGTTCCTGTGCTGTTAGTATGGTATCCCCTTACCCCAAAGTATACGATATACCGTCTAAACCGATAAGGTCAGGTTTGATCGCAGTCGTACAAGTACTCATGAACAATACGCTGGCGGTTCTCACCCGACGCATCGACTTCACTTCAGTTTCGGCCAAAGAGAAGAAGATTATCTCTAGACCTCTCCGGTTTTCAAGCAACAGCGCTTATAGCCATTCTACCTTTATCACCCAACCTAGGATTTAAGTTATAGTTAGGGATAAGATGCGGTCCTGAGTCCGAGATGCCATAGGGGTTCTGGATCAGGGTTAGAGTTAAGATTAGAATAGGTTTGCTGTCACGTTTAGAGTAGCGACGAGAGCTGTGGTTAGGGGTTTGGTTTTCTTTTAGGTATCTGATCAACAAGTTGATAATGGATGAGGCTAGCGATAAAAGTTAAGAATAAAGTAGGGGTTCGGCTTGCTGTTATGTTGGATGCTAGGTTAACGGGTAGTGTTATGATTAACAACTCCGTTAGGGTTGCTGATAGAAGCGAACAGGCGAGTTCCAGGTAGCAGTTCAGAAGACGGAGATTCGACCACTGGAACAAGAAACTTATTGGCCTGACGTTTCGGATTCTCACTCAAATCCAGCATCAGAGACATTCGCAGATAAAGGTGATGGTGGCACAAGGAGTTCAGTATTTATAGCACATGGCTGCCGTGGGACCATATGCGACACTGTAATTTACAGCTCTCGCAATCACCGCTGGGGTCGTAATTAATGCGATGGTGGCTTGTCAGTCCGAGTCCGAGTCCGGCAATTAATAACTCGGACCTTTATCTGCGAATGTCTCTGATAATGGATTCGAGTAATAATCCGAAACGTCTGGCCAATAAATTCCCGGTTCCAGTGATCGCATTTTCGTCTTCTGAGCCGTTAGGATTGTAAACAAGGGCCTGTCAAGGCTTGTGCCTAGGATGAAGCTTGCGATTGAGGCTGCAGTGTAAATGGGAGTTAAAATATGACAGCCGGTAGATTTAGTGGTTATGGTTTCGTTTATTTTTGTGGGTTACAGTTAAAGCCAAGTTTTGGGGCCGCAGTGATTTGGATGATGCGTGAAGGACTCACTTTACTCGGACGGGGGAAAATATGAGTAAGGTTAGGGGGTCCGGCCTCAACATTATCTTTTCATTTACACTTATGGTAATTCTTTGCTTTCAAACAAACCACGGACTGTGCTGCGTCGTTCGGTCGCCGCAAACGACGACATCCGCCGCTGTTCCGCAGCAACGGCGAGTTGCGCGTGAACCAGTGTACAGTGAGGCAGGCTTGCGAAGCGCCTACCACACTCTTCTCCCTTCATACACCCTGCTCTGATGGAAAAAGCGTTTAGATACACTCATCTTTGTAGTTTTGAAATGCAACTTTTATTTTTATATGCTTTCCGCATCCTGTTAGCATGCTTTGACGCAGCTATTGCACTTTTTAAAATCCTGTTATGTTGCGTTACGTTAAATAGTATGCATATTCAGTATACTATCAGGCTCTTTAGGAAAGAGCAGCATGAATATGGGTTAGTTCTTCCCCATACCCAATCCAGCCTTCATAGATCATTTCAACGAAGGTTAATTGGCTTTATAAGGACACCGAACAAAAACTGCTAAAATTAGTTGCTTTGATAGAGGGAGCGTCCACTGATCGTTCTTATGGAACTCACTCGTTCCGTTGTACCTTACGGGCTCTCTCTCTCGAGCCCAACAAGAAGTCGCACAGCGGCGCATGATAAAGGCAGAATGTTATTACCGACAAAGGCAAGGGAGACTGGAATGACCATTTCTGGCTCATTAGCCGTCGTCAGCCGGTCATATCCAACCTCGAAGTGTGGAACACCCGAGGCTCGAACTCGCGACCTGTTAGTTAGAAGTTCACGTCTCTAACCTCTCACTGCGAGGACGGTAATACCATTCTGCCTATGTATCATGCGCCGCTGTGCGACTGCTGGTTTGGCTCGAGAGAGAGAGAGCCCGTAAGGCACAACAGAACGAGTGAGTTCCGTAAGAACGATCGGTGAGCGCCCCCTACCATTGAACGGCCCGTCTACACGTGCCATACACGACCTTCTCCGCTCTCCAGGTGTGGCGGGTGGTTTAGGTTCCATGCAGATGACAATGGTAGAAGAGCCACATTGAGGAGGAGTCAGCGCAGCTTGGGCCTCAGTCCTGAAAAGAGCCGCATTGGGACATCGATTGACAACGTTCCAAGGCACGTCTGGTTTTGTGTCATGAAAAACTGAAGTTCATCAGGTTCATAATAGTGAGTAATGCGACGAATTGTCCTATATTGACCCCTTTCTAGATTCTGTTTCCTATTCACCAATGGTTCGTCTGAGGAGAGTCGACTGATGTTGGTAGTGGACGCAGTGTTGAGCAGTCCGGCTACGCGTGCTGCACCCGACATGATCGACGCTCGGCATCTATCGATGGTCGGTACCAGAGGACACAAATGTCACCTGGTCGAAATTTTTACACTGTCATATGAGGCGTTTTACCCGTCACACTGCCGGTTAGAAGTTGTATCGCATGGGTCTTGCCTGAGAGTTATGTGTTTTGCTGTTGATAGTTGCGTACATACCGGCGTGAGTGAGGGCGACCACGTATAGACTGAATGATTTTAGAAGAGTGTTTGGCGGGCTTACGCGTGATTTCGATAAATTCTCATCGGGCCTGTATATTTATATGGGGACGAAGTACAAGCTGAACATGTGACTGATAAGTGCAATCGATTATGGCTCGTCCTTTCATGCAAACGGGGTAGTGAATAGAGTGGGGGGGGGGAAGGGGAGAGGAGGCGGTCAGTGAGGGTTAGGTTGGGTCGAGTCACGGGGGGGGAGAGGGATGGAGGTGGGGACACGCAGACCTGCATACAACATACACAGCTCCATCCTCGCACACATGCTTGATTCTGGGCACCGTGTAGATCCCAACGAAGCCCTCCATGTGATTTACAAGGTCCTACCTAACTACCCTAAGCGACTGAGTCAGCGTGTACTAGCAGCAGCAGCAGCAGCAGCAGCAGCAGCAGCAGCAGCAGCAGCAGCAGCAGCAGCAGCAGCAGCAGCAGCAGCAGCAGCAGCAGCAGCAGCAGCAGCAGCAGCAGCAGCAGCAGCAGCAGCAGCAGCAGCAGCAGCAGCAGCAGCAGCAGCAGCAGCAACAACAGAAGCAACTGCCATCAAGTTACAGAGGCCGGTCCTGTGCGCGCGCAGGAGAACCTCTTGCACGCTCCGCGTCTACTATGGGCCAGGATCGATTAAATGTATGCAGGTCTTCGCGCCCCCACCTCCCTCCCTTCCCCCTTGTGACGCGGCTCAAACTAACCCTTACTGTCAATTACTACCTCCTCTCCTCTCCCCTCCCCTCACTCTATCCACATACCCCGTTTGTATGAAAGGACGAACCTTGATCGATCGTTCTTATCGCTGACACGTTTCAGTTTGTACCTCGGCCCGATGAGAATTTATCGAAAGGACGCGTAAGCTCGCCAAATTCTCTTCTTAATTGCTCCATGGGAATTTTTGTAACTCTAAATGAATTTTTTCGTACAGTTGAGGCGAAGGGTTGTGAGAGGGTGGGGACTGGAGATTCAAATGTGTATTGTCGAATAGTTCCCTGCGATGCTTGTATATTCTGGGTCAGCGTCGGGAAAAGAGACGATCGTAGCGAATGTGTGTTTGGGGGTCCTGGTTGTTTGGTTTGTCTGGTTGAGTGCGATGAATTCACGTTTGATCGATTCAAAGATACATTGACAGTGTGGAGAAGATGGGAGTGCGTCCACGGAGGTAATGGCAACGATGTTGGTGGTGGGGGTATTGGTGTTGGTGCCAATGAAAATTTCTGGTGTAGGAGTTGGGTTGGTTATGACGACAATACGGTGAGACCAGTTGTTGTCTATGTGTTTATGGTCGAAATGACTCCCGCACTGTCTGAATGTCTTGGAGCCGTGTCGGCAAATGAAACGGTAACGGTTGTATGTTGTGGCTCCAGGCAGTGATGAGCCGGCCTCAGTGCGTTAACTTCGAAACTGACGAATAGGCTAATGTGTGATTTTAAAGCACGGTCGCAAGGGAGGGAGGTTGGAAAGGAGTTAGCATTCCTGGTTAAGTGACAACGGTAGTACTGAATGCCTGATGGCACAAGTGCCCCCGCAGGTGAAGCGGGTCTTCCTGAGAGCTTCGCCGTTCAGTTTTCATCCAGCCAGTGGTAAGGTTAGGGTAAAGGTCCTTAAGTATCTATGACACAAAATAAAGCCTACTATATTTGTTTAAGTAGGTCGCGTTTTGCTCGCTTCACACCCGAAACATGGAGTTTACGGTCGGGCGTAGACCCTAGTTCATACCATTGAGAAGCGGTCGTTTGGCTTCGCGTTGCGTACTCTGCCATAACCTTAGCTCAGAGAGTTGAGAGTCGACCGTTCGGCTCCACCCATTCATCACGGAGGTTGTTCTTCACCTTACCATTACTTACCATTGACTGTGCAGAGATATTCCAGAAAGCATCGTGTCGATTGGGTCGTTCATCGTAGACCCTAGTTCATACCATTGAGAAGCTATCGTTTGACTTCGCACCCTCATCAGAGACGTTGCACTTCTCCTTAACATTACTTCCCATTGGCTGTGCCAGACTCCCTTTCACGTTTGTTGCGAATGACTGCAGCTCACAGACGTCGGATGAGATCGGACTAGTTCCTCAGTTCATCTTAGACCTTCCTCCTTATCGTCTTAGTCCAGTAAATTGCCGGAAATGCCACGATTATTTTTCGTTTGCTACGGATAATCGCAGTTGACAGGCTTCGGATCACTTGTATTGCCTCCTCGGTTCTGCTTAAACGTTGATGCTCATTTTAGCATTCACTGTAATTACTATAGATAAAAGAATTGAGAAGCAATAGTGTTGGTACGGTGATCTGCTGCAGACTTCGACGATTCACCTCACAGTTCCTTTTCATGGTATTAATTAGCACAGTTGCGATGCATTCGCATGGATTCGTTCTTCCAATGCAGAGGTCATTTCTTATGGAAGAAAACAGACGACAAATTATCGCCACGTTGTAGTTCCAAAGTCTTAGGTAAGACCGCATTTGGAGTACGGAATGCCATCATGGATGCCCTGGATGAGGAAAGACAGTGATGCCATAGAGCAGGTGCAACGACCGGCCACAAAGCTGGTGGACGGTCTCAGGACTCTGTCATACCCAGAAAGACTGATCCAGCTAAGCTTGTTCCGCCTATCCTATAGATGAATGTATTGTGACCTGCTATGGACATTCCGCATTATCCACGGGCATGAATGTTCGCTCAAATCTGAAGACTTCTTTGAATTCACGACCATGATTCACCTGCGCGGTCATCCGTAAAAAGTCAAGCGGAAGCGTACACGCCTAGACCATCGGAAGTTTTCCCTCAGCCAGCGTGTTGTTCGACCGTGGAACTCACTTCCAAGTGAAATATTGACATCTGATACAATGCCTGTGTTCAAAAGGCAGCTGGATTGTTTGATATTTGATATACGACGACTCTCACTGCAGGACTATCTGCGGCCAGCCATAAATTCCATTTTTCGATCTCATTCCAATGTAACAAATCCATGACGTTTCATGAAAATTTCCATCTCAAACTATGCAAATGACTGCACTTTATGCTGATTGTATATAATTACACTCAAAATTTCATATGTACATTGAAAAGACCGCCTGCTGAACCCGCAGTCCTGCACTGTAAAAACGTTTTCCGTTAACAGATATGTTACTGGCAAAATTTTAGCAAGATGTACATTTAACATGTAAATTATATGTACCGTTTTCAATAGGGTCATCAAGGACATTGCCCATTGCCTTAAAATACACTATACGCAAGACAGATGGCTTGAAAGAACTTTATGTAAGACAACTTTCTTACGCTAATGTCGCTTTCTTCCACGCTGGCTTTCAACTGCACTGGGTATGCCTCTGCAAAGTGAGACAGGCAAACTTCCCATGGTATTCAAACCAAACCACAGACGACACTGCACTACATCGGAAGTCGTTTCCTCTGACAGTACTCCACCACCTTCTCCAAATTTATTTCCTCTAATATTTTTTTTCGGTTCTACTTTGAAGCTGCGACTGAGTTCGACCAATTCTTTTGGGTTTGCTTCCAATGACCTGTTATATTGAGAAAGACATAGCCTGTTGAGAACAAACCATTCCGCCAGATAATGCCTTTGGGTCTTTAGTAACTGCGAATTAATTACCGAGACACATTTATGCCTGCTGCATTTATTGACTATGATCACACAGAATAGCCAAAGAATTTTGCTTCTTACTTAAGCCTTTTTGGTTTCCATTAATATAACCGAGTTGGTCAGATATCGTTGGCTTAGTGTTCATTGACAGTACAACACCGTACACTAAATTTCAGTGCGGCTGCCTCCCTCATATCTTTTCCTTTATTCTCATTGGTTGAACTTGCGCCGGTTACCTGCCCCAATGTAAACTATTGATTGACGGTTAATTTAGATTGGTTTATTCTTCGAACGCCACTTATTGCTCATTTTTTAATTGCCGCGCTTCATTTTCTTTGCTATATGTCAGCGTATTAAAAATTTTACGACACAAAATCAAACATCTAACATACTTTCCTTATTTTTTGCACCTTATCTACCATCCATATGCCCCACCCGTAAAACCCCTATTGCAACCTTCCACATGAGACAGGTGTCTGTGGCTAGCTACTGATACTTGGGGGTCTTCAGCCTACCGTTACCCAGCCAATTTGTATGCAAACAGATCTGCCATTCCCTGAGGTCAGCCAACCATTGGACTGTCAAAAATAAGACAACTATACCTGTGAGATTGAGAGGCGTCACGTTAACAGCCTGTAGGGATTTACGTGGATGAGGACAGGGGGTTGCTATTTGGTGTTGTTGTTCGACCGTAGACTTTGCGTTTACAAGTCATAGCTTGCTGACTGCATATTTTGCGACAATTTTAAGGCACATTGTCTAGTCTGTTCCCCGTGAAAGGGATAAAAAGTACTTCCCTACACAGGACCGCATGGTACTCTCGGACGGCCGCCGCACTCCACCTCGGATCTCGAACTTGTTTAAGGGGGCGACAATGTGAATAACTCATACTGACACAACTGTGAAAAACTCGGCGCTTCCGTGGGATTCGAACCCACGCAGTAAGGGGAAGGCCTTAGTACAGTCAACACTCTAACCACTTGAGATACGAGGCCCCGACGGGAAGCGAGTTTAGTCACATTTGGGTCAAGTTACCCGCGAGCCTGATAGTCATCTGGTGGATTCTAGGTGAATTACTTAGGAAATCCTGCTTGGGCAGTCAACTTACTGTATCACATTTGGTGGATTCCAGAAGTTGCAGTAGGTTGGGCGGGTAACTTGACCCAAATGTGATTAAACTCGCGTCGTCCGGCGGGGCCTCGTAGCTCAGGTGGCTAGAGCGTTGGCTGTACTAAAGCCTTCCACTTACTGCCGTGGGTTCGAATCCCATTGAGGCGCCGAGTTTTTCACAATTGGGTCAATATGAATTATTCCAAATCTGCCAAAACATCTATGAACGTGAATAACATTGGGCCGCCTACGGGACTGCATGCCGCCCGCGTTCGGGGGGATGGGAGAGGGGATGACGATAAGCACAGGGGGTCCCGAGGGCAGGACCACACATACGCGCAAGACAACCTCGTCTGGTTTAGCCACCCACCTGGTCAAGGGCGCTGGTTACTGGATAGTGGTTCAAGTGCCGAGCTCGGTTTCGCGGAGTCATAGCTGAACCCCATGTGGGGCGAAATAGAGATATTCATAAGGTATTTCGGTGCGTTGGGTGCGAACCAGCAGTGTTTTATTTACTACTGCTTGTTGCTACCGTGGTCAAGCCTGATCTAACCGCCTAAGATGGTATATCGTACGTTGCCCCTCCATGCCAGACAGTCTGCGGCAGCGTAATTGCGCCAGGGTACTTTAGACAGGGTAGTAGTGTCCAATGGCCGTCTAGTCACATTAACAAACCAAAGTGCCCGTACAATCGCGACAGCCGTACATACTGTATTGCCGCTGGCATCACGGGACCTTGTTAAGAACAATCCAATACGCTCGGATAATTCACGGACTGGACCTTTCGTTTTAACTGATACAGTTAATACTTTCCGTCTGAACAATTAGAGCTGATATTGCGGAAGCCAACCATGTGTCGTTAAGAATTCACAATGGTGCTTCTGTTGCTCCTTAGTGGCTTCAGTTGTGGGTTTCGTTGGAAAGTGAGTTTCCCTAAGAGTAACATATTCCGACCTTTCAAATATATACTGTCTGAAGATTGTACGGCTTTTATCCTGTACTCGACTCTAGCATGGAATGCCGTTTCGACTATGTGGTAACAGGTATGCATGCTAAGCACGTGGTTCGACTCACAGAGGAGAGACATCAGGTCGCTGGATAGCATACTGAATATTATGATTCGCCTTACTCCATTTAAACAAAAAGTGCAGCTTAAGAAACGTCTCGGTTACCGCACAATTACTCCGCCTTGTTCCGGTCCACTTGTCCCGTCAACCCTTCACCCCTCCCCCCATTATAGCCGTTTTCTGAAGATTGGAAACCTGTACATACGGCGTTGTTAAAGGTGCGTCTAGAAAAATCGGTCTAGACTTCAAAAATCATGATTTAATTCACACCCAACTGCCATTAAGGCATAAGTGGGCAAGAAAAGATCGACCGGAGGAAAATTCTTCAAATGGCTAAAACCGCAAGGCAAAAAAGCAAACTCTATGAGAAATACCACAAACTAGCCAAAACCAAACTCCCAAAAGCGGTTGCACTACTCACATTCCGGCATAATTTATATGCTAAGCACTAAATAATGTTCAGTAGAATCTCCAGAGGCCGTTACGGCGACATTTACGCGACTTGCTTTCCTGGAATACTAGCCCATCAGAAAAGTGGTAACTGGCGAGTTTCTGACAGCTTATCGAGAAACTACAATATTCTACCTTTTTAGGGTCTGACATGCAATCTCAGTAGGCTGTCTTATCGACATAAAGCAAGTTATTTTCTGAGTCAGAAGGGTGTGCAGTCGCGAGGCAGTTTTTACCAGGTCGAGCCGGGAATGTTACAGAATTGGTGAAAACGCCGCCCGCCAATTGGTAACATCGCATTGAACAGTTTATGGAAAGAAGATGAATACACGATCTCTGGGACAGTAGGTGTATTAGTCTGAGCTTTCGGTCTCGTACAGGAGGCCACCGTCAGAGGCTGTGAGAATGCGGCATCGAGTGAGCAGTTTTTGTAGTCAAGCCATGAAAGGGGAGGGAGATATGAGTGCAGAGGGCGGTATTCGCGATAAGCTGAGTCCCACGCCGTCTCACGGCGGCGTGACTGCGTACATCCTCGGCTGGAAATTGGGTCTCGCCGGGAGACGACATGGGACTCAACTTATCGCGAATACCACCCTCTGCACTCATATCCCCCTCCCCTTTCATGGCTTGACTACAAAAACTGCTCATTTGATGCCGCATTCTCACAGTCTCTGATGGTGGCCTCCTGTACGAGACCGAAAGCTCAGACCAGTACACCCAGTGTCCCAGAGATCGTGTGTTCATCTTCTTTACAGCAAGAAC